TAAATAAAGTTTAGTCCTTTCTCTTTTATCTATTAAAGTGGGTCCTCCTGTTGTTTGTTTGAATAAAAAGGTATAGAAAAGAGTTTATTACAGTCATTTTGTAAATTTGTATGGGGCTGTCAAAATGTCAGAATTTCACGCAATGATTATTAAGACCAAAAGAAGTAAAAAACAAAAATAAAACACAGTATAGTAATGTTACTAACACTAAAGTCGTGTTTGTTTTAAGTGATGTTTGTTTTTCTGTTTTGGCAAATGACAAAAGTAGTTATGGTAAAGATGTACACTCTGACAAGAGTCATATTTAAACATCAACTTACAAAATTCAGTACACTCTCATTACACCTGTCTTAAACTTCATACATCTGCAAAAGCACAAAGGTGTGCTTATATATGCAAAAGCTCAGATGAAATACTTTAAACATGCATATATTTTCACACAGGAACAGTTTTTGTGCTTTTCTGACTTTAATAATTTGCACATTTTTCAAAAGCACCCAGTGGGCCTGACCGGATCCTCTGGCTTTGGCCAATGGACTACATGTTCTATACCTATGTTTTAAAGTAAAGACGCTCCTGTTCTGTACAGTATGTGCTCATTTCTTATACTTATGTAACTATGTGTACATGTAGGCTACGGTCCTGTATCCCTGAAATCTCAGGAATGAAATTTCTTTCTTTCTATTGTACCTGTGAATTAATTTACACAACTCTGACCTAAAACATTCACATAAAAAAACAACACATGACCCAGATTTGTCCTTTTTTCTCACTTTAATCTTTTGCTGTTATTCTTGTGGTAAGAAACAAGCAGCCACTTACAGATTCAACACGTTCACTTCCCAACACAATGAGAATCTACAAACACGCACAGCCACTGAGCCGCCACAGCGCCTTCAGGACAACAAAACCATCCAACAGTAAAACAACGCCGTCGTCGTAGGTAATTGTAGAAAAACAGCACCAGTTTGTGTGAAGCTGCGGTGATCGGGGGGAGCTTCACTCCTCCTCCTCACCTGTTCATGTGGTGCTCTTCATGCATGGGTGTCGGTGTGGCACAGGTGATTCACGTTGGCACATTTGAACAGGAATAGAAAAACAAACATCCTAAATATATAGAGTGCACGGACAACAAGACGTGATCATGTATAAATATAATACTGGTAGGCAGGAATGAGAGGATCAGTAGTGGTTTATCGTCAGCCTGTGCAGCTCAATCGTCCTGCTCTGTGGAGACTCACTGCTCTGGAAACATCTCGCTGTATGTTCCTACAGCTGGTCCACGACGTGCCTCTCAGTCTCAGCAACACTCTTTGATTTCTGCTCACTCTGAGGTCTCAGGTATTTGGTGTGTGTTCAGACTGCAGTGTGAAAAGTGTGCAAAGGCTCATTAGTGTGCACAGAAAATATTCAGTGAGCTGACACACAACATAATCCAAAATATGCCCTTTACTTGTTTGCCTCAAAGAGTCACAACGGTAGCTTTTCTTGTACCTGATGTTTCTCACTAAGAAGCTGCCCTTACTATCATTTTTCCTGCTATTAACGTATCCTTTATTATTACTGTGTACTACAGAGCGTCTGTGCTGGAGCTCACGGTCTAATAAAAAGAGAAAGTCAGAGTCAGAGCCACAGAGAGCATCCTGCTGCTCTAACAGAGCCTTAAATGCATGAAAATAGACTCAAGTTTGAGTCATGTTCAGACGCTGGTTTAATCATTTACTTGAACCTGCGACCCAGAGAGCAATAAGAGTCGCAGAAAGGCTGTAGGATGTACTGACGGACTCATGTTTACAGGACATAATTAAAGAGTAACTGCAGCTTTGTAAGTTAAGAGTCACGTCCTGGAGTAAACGAGTATTTTTAAGTTTTCTCCACACCTTCAAGTTCTGTGTTTAACCCTCAAGCGACCGAGACGTTTCAGTGACTGAAGCACCGGACTGGACTCGGCCACTATTAAAAAAACCTTTGAATAACCTGTATGATCAAGTCATGATCATATATTTTATTAAAGAGAGCTTTTTGTTAATAGTGGATCTATTTGTGTTTATCATGCCTCTACTGTTTCTGCCATGTATGAGATATTACTTTACACCACAGGTTCACAGGGAGAAAAAAGGGATGTTGGGTCAGATTCCCTGGGCAGCTGGAGCCTTTCTGTGTGGTTTGCATGTTCTCCCTGTGCCTGTGTGGGCTTCGTCCCACAGTCAAAGACATGGATGTTACATTAATTGATGATTTTTAAATCAAAGCCTTTAATGTTAAAAAATATCATTAACCTCAGCGCACCCATTTCTGTAAAAAAATATATAAATAAAAAGTTGGAAGGAAACATTTTCATAATTAAAAAATACAACAAGGTCACACATAAATGACTCCACTCAGTCACTCGAAGGTTAAATAACGTGTTTTTGTTCCCTTCATGCACTCTGTGAGCTCTACAGACGCCCCTGAGA